TATATATATAATGAGGAGAAGCTTGAGGAGAAGCCTTATAATAAATTGGTTTCACTATATTCTTTTATAGTTTTCAACTCCACTACATTCCTAAGTTTATTGATGTTTAGGATATATTTGTAAAATAATTAAAGGGAGTGCTTAAATTTTATCTATTTATCATCTAGGAATCCTATTTAACATTTGCTAATTATTTTGAAGTAAATATAAATTCAAATTTTCTTGGTTAAATGCATGATTTCTTATACATTTAGTCTACACTTATTTGCTAATGAGTTATATTTTCATCATTATGAATCTCTTAAGGCATGATAGTTGATAATTTCTTAAGAAATCCACTCCAATTAGTTAATTTAATTGGTATTTATGCTTTAGTGTTACTTGAGGACAGATAACCTTTATGTTTGGAGGATTTTGATTTATAGGTAAGTATGCTAATATTTCTTTATGATTTACACTTTTTTTAGGATGAGATTTCACTTTAGGGAATGGTACTCTTATGCTTTTATTGTAGCTACAATAGGTAGTGGAAGTGAGGAAATGTGGAAGAGACCTAGAGCGAAGGTGCTATTATTAAGCCACTGAAATTGAATATTAGGCACTAGCTTCCACAACAATAGAAATCATCGAGTTATCTCGTCCATTATCTAATTTTGGAATTTCGATTAACAGTTAACTCCTCTATACTGTGACAGTGTCTCCACAATTATGCTAGCCAACAATCCAGTATTTCAAGCTCACATAAAACACATTAAAGTTGATCATTACTTCACTCGTGATTACACAGCTATTCTTGTTCACTATCTCAACTCCCAAGATCAGCTCGCTGATTTATTCACCAAGTCAATTTATTTAGCTAGATTCAGCCATCTCAGAATCAAGCTGCCAATTGAGGATGAGTCATGCAGGGCAACAATAACAACAATGGAAAATAACATAACAAACTCCACAACGACTAGCACTTTCTACTAGTCTTATAAATAAGAAAATCACATACATTCATTTATAACCAAATCAGACATAGCTATAACTGAAACATATCAAGCGATCTCTCTAATTATTGTTCACTATTTACATCTTAATTTGATTGCATATTAATATTTTTCCTGTATTTATTCATTTCAATCTTTACATTATGCAACTCTTAACATAGTTTGGGGTTTTCTAACAATATGGTGAAGTTTAAAAAAAATGGTTGAGTTTTATAAAAGATGAACCACTCTTGGTTCAAATAGAGAACTTCCTACGAAAATGATAATGGTGCTTAGAAAAGAGATGTTCAGAGAGCCATCTGCTTCAAACTTATTCATATTACTACTAAGTATTGTCTTGTAGTTCTATACCGAAGGCAATATGGTCTAAAAAAAGATTCTAAATCAAACTTCTCCAAGAAAATATAAAGTGAGGGGTATTTATGTAAGTCATAAATAATAAAACTTATATATGATTCAATAGAATACATGCTGGCTTTTTTTCATTTGCTTAACAAATTTTTAAGGGGTAAAGTACATTACTAAAAAATGATCCAACAGGAAAATTCATTTTTTTTGCTCACTGGATTTCTAGTTATTGCCTCACTTCATGCCATTTTTTCCAAAACTCCCGGCAGACTTTTCCATTTTCCCATGTTCTCTCACCCATTCTTCTACAAAACCCCTCTTCAGTCCCTATGCAACAGTGTTTCCAGTCTCCACCTCGCCTTTCCCCCCTTTCCTTCTGCCTTCCCACTTCGCACTGAACAAAAGCTGCGTCTTTCAACTTTTCATTCTATGAAGATGCCTTGTTTAGGAGGCAAAAGAGGAACAATAGAGAGAGCACTGGCTCCTGCCTCTTCCATCTAAAATACTCCATAATCTTCATCAAGATTATTCTTCACCTGAAATGGGTATAAAATCTGATTGCTCATCTTCTATTCTGCTATGTGCTGAGGAAGACAGCAGCATCTTAAGCTTTGATGAGGAAGAAGAGGCTGAGAAGCATTGGTCCGATTGTTCAGTTCAGCAAAAAAGCTGTGATTTATATGGGCGTTTTTTCAACGATTTTCCTCTTCTATCTGATGAGTGTTTGGGCTTGTTGATAAAGAGGGAGGTGGAGCATCTGCCCCGGGAGGACTACGCCCAGAGGCTGATGAGTGGGTGTATGAATTTTTCGATTAGAAGAGATGCCATTGATTGGATTTTAAAGGTGCGATTTTTAGCTAAGATTTGCTCATAATATTCCCCTAGCGATCTTGTTCTTCATCCGGATGGCTTTTGGTTCATGGATTTGCATTCGAAGATGCTTGTTTTAATTTGATGTGGTCTAGATCTTTTACTGTTTTATGGTCATCTTTACATTTTAGCCCTGTTTACTTCATCTACTCTTATTATCATTCTTATGTCTTTGTTAATGTTAGGTTTTCTTGGCCTCCTGCCTTTACTTTTATTTTTTATACATAAACTGGCAAAGAGCCCTTGATTGTTGAGAGGCATAGCTTATTTGACATTTCCCAGTTTTTTCTGTTTTTTTTTTTTTTTTTGTTCTATTGGAATTATCTTGCTCATCTGTTTTCATTTATTTCCTCTTGATGTTTGTAATGGAATTTATTCAGGCTTCTTTTTCCTTTCATCCTAATGTAACTAATGCATCTTTTTATGCCACTGCCAGCTTCATGACTATCACAATTTTGGACCTTTGAGTGCTTACCTTGCTGTAAACTATCTGGATAGGTTCCTGTCATCCTATGAGCCCCCTGTAACTCTCCATTCTTTATATACTTGAAAAAATTTGTTTCAATCATGACAAATGTTATTCTCCTATTTCTCATGATTCAATCCTTGTCTGTAGCAAGGCAAAGACTGGATGGCTCAATTATTATCTGTAGGCTGCTTATCTTTGGCTTGCAAAATGGAAGAAATAGAAGCCCCTCTATTGCTTGACCTGCAGGTACTGAAGAAAATATATCAAAATGGAGTTTTGTTATTCATCTGATGACTGGAAATTTCATTCAAGGCTTCTAAGGTACTTGAAATTTTTTGGTTTAATAGGTGAGTGAGACCAAATTTGTCTTTGAGGCTAAGACTATCCAAAGAATGGAACTTCTAGTGCTAAGCACTCTCAAATGGAGGATGCAAGCTGTGACTCCTTTCTCCTTCATAGACTACTTCCTTCATAAGCTCAATGGTGACAATTCCCCCTCCAAGACATTAGTCACTCGAGCAGTAGAGCTCATCCTTTGCACCCTTCGAGGTATTTCATACATTTAGAATTACTATTATTTGAATTTCCTTATGATTCACAGAGAATTGAATGAACAATATTGTCATTTTGAACTGATGCAGGCATTGATTTTCTAGCATTCAGACCATCTGAAATAGCTGTGGGTGTCACGCTGTCGGTGATGGGCGAAGCACAACCTCTAAATGCCTTTGAGACCATCTCTTGCTGCAACATGATGGATGAGGTTAAGATTGATTCATATTGTATCATGATCATATTATTTTTTACATACGAGTTAAGTCATTGAGCAAGAACACTTGTGTTATGATTGCAGGAGAGAGTGTTGAGATGCCACAAAATCATACAGGAGGAGATAATAAATTGTTGTGAAGATCCAATGAGTGGGATTCCATTAGTTCATTCTTTGCCACTGAGCCCAATTGGGGTTCTGGATGCTGCAAGTCTGAGCTACAAGAGTGATGAACTGACATCTGGCTCCCAATCAAGTTGGTGCCTTTCTTCTCCAGCAGGAAAGAGAAGAAGACTTAGCAGGTCATCCAGCTCAATAAGAGGAACTGAGACTCTTTAGTTTGATTTTGATTGAATTGTTTGAGAGGATCAATGCTTGTAGGTAATTGAGTTTGATTCGGTGTGAGATCAATCTCGGAACTATTCTGAGAAGTTCTTAGAAGTTGGACGACAACATGAAGCAAAATGAGAAGATAGATGGAGGCAAAACAAGAAATTATGAAGTTGGCGATCAGTTGCCAATGAATTTTCAAATAAAACCAGAGAAAAAAAAATGAGAAAGGGAGGCTGCTATGTGTGATAGGGAGATGATGAAGTGTGGAGTTTTGTTGTTCTTCCATTGCCATTTTCCTTCAAAAAATGAAAAAAATACCATTTTGGCGATAAAAAATTAATATTTGTGTTACCTTCCTCTGCCAAAACAAAGAAGAAACATTAGATATATTTGTTTTGGAGGATATTATATGTTAGAACTGCCTTAGCTGTAATTTTGCTGTATTTCATTTCTGTTGGTTGACTGATTGTCTGCTTAGACCATGGAATTTACAGTTTCTGTAGCATTAAAGAAGGGGGGCCTTGGGAACACAACAAAAGCCAAGGTGAATAAAATTCAGATTAGTTGGTGTGAGCATGCAGATTTCAGCCCATAGATTTGGATCCTTTCAAACCAACATGGAGATGGTACATGTGCAGTTAGGATTAGTTCTACTAGTTTATTTGAAAATCATACTGAGATTCCGAAGGTTAATACTGTCATTCAAATGAATTGGATGTTTTTAAGGACTATAATTGCTCAAGTGCAATCATCAATGGTAAGTTGAGAGGATCTGAATACTGCACAACTTCTCGGAAGTTCCAATTCAGAAGTTTTAATATGAAAATTTGATACTTCACAAGTCTTAATGGTAGTCTTATTATTATGGTAAATAGAAAATAAATTGTGGTTATTTGTATAGATTTCAATGTATATTACCTTTTTATTTAATAAGAATAATAGCGACGTATGTTATAAATGAAGACGAATATTGATATTATGCAAGAATTACTTGAAACCGTTAATTGAATTCTTAGAATTTTTATGAAAGAAATGGCGTTAATTAGTATGGTTTGTTAGAGAAACAACTCGTTAAGATGATCAATTGATGTTGGGTCAGGCAAACAACTCACGATCGACTGAATAAACTCCAAACAATCAAATTGAACAGCCATGAATGTGAAGTGGTGTTAAAAGAAGTTATAAAAGCATAGTGGTACTAGCATCAGTTATGGGGTCGAAATAAATGACATTCAGTTACAAATGTGTAAATGTAACATCTCATTAAATATAATAAGATTTCTTTCTATAATAGGGGACAATAATGTAACTTATGATTCCTAACTATGAAGTATAAATAGGAGCACGGTTTCTAAAGAAGCCAAAGAGAACTCACACTAAAAAATGAATATTGAGTGGTCAAAACTTTCTTCCTTTTCTTTCTTTCATCCAAATTATGATCTATACCTTAGGCATGATCCACCGAACAATTTGAGATCCAACATTCTAAAAGGAGCGGTGAGTGTGGACTCATGTTTTCAATAAGATGAGGAGCACGTGAGGGTGATGAAACACTCCAATAAGAGACCTCCAACATGAATTCTGTCCAAGAATTTGTAGAAAAACAAATCCAGGTGCTCCATGATCAGATGGCCTGGCAAATTGTAGAGCTGGCCCGAACAGAGTTTGAGGGATGGGTGTAGCCTCTCCCATAGCCCGATTCGCTAGCACCCCATCCGCCAGTTCAACAGGCGGTTCTAGCGCTCGATCCTCCAGCTCAGCAGGCTGCACCAACAGCCGAATAAGAAGTTGAGTCTCATTATCAAGATAGCACTAGATCTGCCCAAACGGAAGGACCACCATAAGGGGCGAAAGAAATCCATCAACACACAGAGAATGCATTTTCTCAACGCATAATAGTGGCTAAACCACCATAGATGTTCAAGGCTCCCACCTTGAAACCATACAAAAGATGAAGCAATCCCACGAACCATATTGTGTCCTTTAATTCAGCAATATGCCTTCTCAATATTTTGGACGCACTAAGGTGTCGGCTATTCTACATCACGATGAGAGATTCTACTCTCAGGTGGCTCAACAGGCTACCTGCAGAATTACTAATTCCTTTGGGGATTATAAGAAGTTATTTTTAGGACAATTTGTTAGTGCCCAAAAGCCACAAAAAAGATTCAGATTCATTATTATACCTGAAGTAGGGACCGAATGATAGTCTAAGGTAGTATGTGATGAGATTCCAAAGTGTGAGATGCTTGAGGTCCAGAACTTGGAACATTCAGTCACCAAGTCAGTGCTAGCACAAAGGATTGAAGAGTCCACAATTTTGATACTTTCTGGATTTAAGGAAACCCAAAACATTGGCAGAACTTCTTAAGTTAGCCAACAACCACATTGCAGCTGAAGAATATATGAACTAGTCAATTTTTTAAGGGGAAAAAATCATATCGATGATCCACCACCTGTGCCGCCGCCATTTTTTTATCGTCATGTTTTTGTTATGGAGTCACTAGTTTGTTTTTCGTCATATAGCCTCTCTCTCAGTAACTCTCTCTCCCTGATCATGTGGGTGATTTGAAGTGAGAAAAAATTTGAGGGCTAACGCATAAAATGGCGAGGCAACCAAAATAAACATTTGGGGAACTTTCGTGAGGTGAACTTCACATGGACAGCTCCAAAGTGTATGTCCAAGGCAAGATCAACTTAAGACACCTTGGAGACATACTTGTAAAGAAGACCTGGCAAAAGCAAACCCATAACCAGAGATTCAGGTTATTGTACCTTTTATGAAACTCGTTTCTTCCAACAAAAGCAATCCCCTACAATTAATTATATCTTAAGCAACTGTGGTTGCTTAAGAAAACACCTGATTAAGATTGTTACTCATCCTCAGAAAATTCAAGTGTTGATGTTTTAAAGGAAGGAGTTTCAAAGTCCCATTCTAAGGTTAGTTGATTCTTGAGCGTTCCAAAGAAACATATCAAGATCCTGAACTATCCTATGATTTTATTTTGTTGTCAATAGTTTAGTTGAGGTTTTTCCTTTACTCCAGGTTTTGAATGTTCATCCCTGCAAATAGATTAAATACACTATAATAACATGCAAAGTAAATCTAGCGTGTCATTCGAGTTTTCTCTTTAGCATCCCAACAAAATAAAGTTAGCATAAAATATGTTTTGGTTTGATTAATTGGTTGTTCTTTTTTTAGGACAAGCCAGTACAGATGCACATGGCTTTCTATCCTCCTAGGGTTGTCGGATTCCCTGATCTACTTAATCTGAGACACGGCCAAACCTACTCCGACCAGAAGATTCATGTCAGTAACTGTGGGTTGTGTCGTCCAAAAGATCTTCTTAGACCTAGTATTGGATTTTAAGTTGCGCTCGGTGATCTTTGTTTTTTAAGACTTCATTTAAGTTTTAATGTCTTTCTTGGATTTAGGGTGTTGAAAATTTTAGGTTGCTTAAGACTTATTAGTCGATTAATATTTTTTTGTCATTTTTACATTTTATTTTTGTTGTTTGGAATGACCCGGTCATGATCCCATTGTTCCATCATCCCAGGGTCATTGGGAGTTTGTGGTTTGATTAGTCACAAGTGATTGGAAGATACCTTGTTAGTAACCATGGGTTTCCTTCTCCTAAATACCTTCTTAAACAATATTGCATTTTTTGGGTCCTGGTTTAAGTTTTGGTGGCTTTTAGGGTGAATTTTATGTCATTTCTTTTATGCTGGTTTGACCTTTGACCCAAGATTGCCCTTAACTAGGTTTAAGTGTTCCTTTGTTCTTTTTCAAGAAGTCAAACACTCCTTAACCTCCAATCAAATTTTAGTTATGTTCGAGCTAGCCCAAGTTAGGTTACAATGATCTGACCAAAAATCTTAGCCATTATGAGTTAGAAAAGGAATGATCCAACCACTAGAGGCTAGTCAATATGCAAGCTATATCAAACATGGACTAGCTCATTCATTATCAATCAACATGTTGTTTTTGGTACGTATAAATTAAAAACATACATGGAGGAAGTCCCTCCACGACATGGAGTGGAGACAACCTTACAAAATTTTTTCCATAAACAAAAAAGTCTTACTTTGTGTCTATAATTATATCTGAGAGAAATTATTTTTGCTAAATCAAATATTTTATTTATCTCAGTAAAGTGGTACAATATATCCAGAGGATAAGAAACGCAAAAATACATCATTCACAAAACTTTTAAAATAAGAAGAAACTCTTAAAGCAAGTGATGGCTCTGTGTTGAAACTCAGTCGACGTGTCCTTGCTAGGAGCCCTTGATTCCTCTTCCTCGCTCTCTCCACATTTACATTTTTCCACCTTGAGAAGTAGGAGAGAGCGTAGAAAGAAACACTTGCTGCCAGAATGCTTATGAGTCATCCTCCTCTGTTGGTAATGGGGAAGAGTTGGAACCCTCCTAACAAAAACTAATGAATGAACATGTTGATATCCTTGGGATCTTGTTGTATGCACTTCCTTTTCCCACGGGATAAAACACCCATTTGTGTTGTTAGGATAATCAGATTAAAACTCTGATCAACCCAACTTGAGACTCAACTTCAAGCTTGACTTAAGTCTTAACCCTAGTTTAATTAAGGTTAATTTTATTCTGACTTGGTTTAACTTGGCTTACCTAGTCAATCTAAATAAAGTAAGATTAGTTTGACTCCAATCAAACTAAGTCAACTTGGCTCAATCCTATAAAGCTTTGGTCGATTTAAATAAGTTTGAAGATAATCCAAGGGACAACCAACCTAATGCAAGTTAACTCGGAATACCTAAAGATTCGCTTTAGATCAATTCAACCCAACTTGCACTGATCTAAAATCAAACTAGGCCTAGGTGACTGAAGGTTAAGTTAAATTTGACTTCTCATATGAGAACAAAAGCAAACTAAGCCTCAGTCATGGACAATATTGGCTAAGGTACCAAACCAACCAAAAAAAAATGTCTTGAAATTCATCCTAAAGGAAATTAAAATTTATACATGAGCAAAAAAAAAAAATTCAACATGGTTTGAGAAGGTATTTTGGAGAAGGCAACCCATGGTTGCTAACAAACTACTTTCTAGTCACTTGTGGCTAATCAAGTTGCAAACCCCAATGACTCGGGACAATGGAACCATGAAAACTTAGTTGTGTCATCCCAAATAAAATAAATAAATAAATAAATTTAATTGACTAAGAAGTCTTAAGCCTATAATACACTCATGCATTTGTTGCACTTATGAAGGATGGAGTCCCGAGTCCATGAGTTGAGTATGGCCTTCACAAAAAGGGTGATTTCTCTATCGGATGCTTCCCATAAATTTGCAATAATTGCAGGGGAGCCTGCAAATAAGTAGTGAATCGGAGCACCTTGAGGTGCATAACACCCCCGCTATCTAAGAGATCCACTGCAACAAACCATCAGGAAAGCACCAACACAGCTACTGAGTTTTCCAAAGGACTCTGCAAATATATATTGCATTCCTGTGGCATAAAAAGAGAAAGGGAGATTTACATACATACCACTCAATTCCTTATGCAGTTATATATCTAACAACTATTTTTTAGATGCATGCCACCTTAACTATGATTGAAAAGGTATATTTCACTTTTTAAAAGTTAAAATAGTGATATTTTTTATGAGATATGAAAGAGCTAATTGGTATAAATGTATAAAAGTATAGCATAGGTGTTAAATATGTAAATGAATAGG